AAATTTTACCTCACAAGCGGTAACTTGTTAGCTAAAGCATCATATTGACCATTAATCTATTGCTGATGCTATAGATAGATACTCAACTTAATCAAAAGCAGGGTAGCTATTGAGAAATTAACTCACTTGTTAGGCTTGCTTAATATGGTCACTGTTACAGTGGATATTTGAACTTTTACACAAAATATGTGTGTCATGTAGCAGTCAGTGCAGTAACAATACTCCAGTATATTTTCTACTCAAGTTTTTGAAATTTCTCTTGAGAATGTAGAAAATATTAGTTCTTAACACAAGAAAAACAATTTACAGTAATAAATAAAAGTTTGAAAAATGAAGGATTAGGTTGAGGCTTCATAAAAATATAATTAAAATGTTATAATTCTATAGTATTAATAAGTGTATCTTTGAAGGAAAAAATAATTGTGGATAATGCGAAACATTCAATCATGCTGATAAAATAACAGCACTTTTTTCTTTTTTCACAATATTGTTAATACTTTGTTCTGGTTAAAAGGTATAAATTCTTAAATATTGGGGTTTTTCTCACAGACTTATAGAAAAAGGCTCTTTCTATTGAATTTTTCTTTTCTTTATAAAGATTAGAAAAGTAAAAGATGATTGTAACTTTTGACATTGAAAACAAATCTAAACTACACTCATTTCATTTTGTGGTGTTACATAATGAAAAAACTTAAATATAAAAAATTGATCTTGCAAACACCAGATGCCAAGTCGTCATGTGTTCAGTTGGGAGAAAATCAGATATCTTCATAAAAAGAAAAAAATGTTTCATGTATACTAACCTAAAATACATCACATTTCTCCTTCAAACGTCTTTAAAACATCCGAAAAATATATACAACAAATATTTACCAAATACAAATAGCTACAATGAATTCTTTATATGTGAGTAAATGTTGATTCAGGCATCCATGTAAACATGGTGTCTTTATCTCTTTGCCATAATATATTTTGACAATAAAATGCCAATATGGTTCTTTTCTTTTCTTGTGTTTGCTTATGGCTGCCAATCTTGGCAAAGATGCTGACTCTGACATAAAAAAGCAAGATGTATGTTTAAAAAGAAGGGGAAGGAATGAATAAAATAAAAATAGATAAAATGAATAAATCAAATGTAGCCAAGAGAGAAGAAACTTAAAGAGTTAAAAAAAAAAAAAAAAATCAGTTTTATGTGCTAGTGCATTCTTATATACATAGAGGATTTTTTTGAGGGTACAATGTGTGTTTTTTATTTGCAAAATGAGATATGAATAGCTTTTTTTGATATATTATCTCTATGTACAACTGGTAGTAACAAATATTCATAGTGATGAACTACCTACAAAGAATGTGGTAGAAGGTAGCCGATGGAAGAGAAAATAAAAAATGGGTGGAAGAAAAAAAAAAACAAGTGAGATAAGGTGCATAGAAAAGAAATTGAGAACAGAATAATTGGGAATGAATAAAAGAGGTTAAAAAAGAAGTTGAGAGAGAAGAGAAAAAGATGAAAAATACAGATGAGAAGCAGATTGACAAAGAAGTGGCTGATAAAAAAAAAAATCAAGCAGGGAAAAAGAAAGAGGCTGAAAAAAATACAATTAGGAAGACAGTGGCTGAAAAAATATAAGCAAGGTAATAGAAAGCGGCTTAAAAAAAGTCAAAGGAAAGAAAGTGGCACAGAAAAATACTAGCAAGGTGTCTGAAAAAGAAAAAGAAATTTTTAATTAAAAAAAAAAAAAAAGTAGAGAAAAAAAAGACTGAAAAAAATCGGTAAGAAAGAAAGTGCGAGAAAAAAAACAAGCAGAAAGAAAGAAAGTGAGAGGCTGAAAACTAAGATCAGTAGAGAGCAGAAAAGATGAACAGAAAATGAAATCAAATAATGAATATCAGAAAAATGCAAAGTGGAAGATAAATTATTCAGTTAGAGAAGATAAGATACAGAAAGAGAAGTCAACAGAATCTAAAATATAAAAGGAGAGGAGGTAAAAAAAAAAAAATTGGGAGAGTAAGAGTTGTAAAGGAAAAAAAGATAGAAAAATCTGAAAAAGTTTGAATTCTTATTTCATTATTCAAAAAACTAGAAATAGTCATCTTTTCAGTTGTCAGGACAAACTAAAAAGCTGATGTGTTCAAAGAAAAGAAACTCAAAAGGATTGAAAATATTCACAAATAGAAAACATACACAAATTGTTTGACCAACAAAAAATGATTTTAAAAAACTATAAGCTGACCAATATATCTATATAATTTTTCTATACTAAAAAAATATAATGAACAGGATATATCACAAATTTACATTAAAAAATGTAACAAAGTTTAGAATTCCTTATGAGTTAAATATTGCTAAACAAAAGTTTTAAAACAAATCACAAAGGCAAAACTCATCAGTAAATTAATTAAAAAAGCACAGGTTTATGATTTCTAAGCAAAAAAAAAAAAAAAAAAAAAACAAAATCTTATTTCTATAAATTTCAGCCAATATAGATTTTTCTAAATCTATATGAAAAAAAAAAAAAATCAAAATTCAACTTTGAAATTTTATTTACATATTACCTAACTTAAAATTTATTTATTCAAAACAAAATTAAGATTTCACCAAAAATCTTTTTGCACCAGCAAATTCAATGCTTAGAAATTCTTGTCTTGTTACATTTAAGAGTAATGTAACTATTCAGGAAAAAAAAATGTAACATCAATAAAAACCTGAAAACATGTAGCAAAAAGTTCTGCTTTAAATTTATTTGAAAATTAGTTTGAAACTATTATAATCACTCTATTATCCTAATTACTCAACACAAACAAGAGTGCAATTAAATTAATTCAAATATTTAACTCAATTCAAATATTCAAATGCTATCATATTGGGAAAACATTTCTGAAAATTAAATTTCTATTTTGAGTTTATATGAAAAGAAAATGGAGTAACCACAATGAGACTTAATGAAAAAATAAGTAACAAAGTTATATAGAAATTCTAAAAGCTTTCACAAAAGCATTCAACTGTTACATTATTTTTCCCATTTTTTTTATTTATTTTGAGCTTATTTGGCATCTGTTTTCTTTGAGCAGAAATTCATTAAAAAATATAAGAATAAGCTTTTGCAATATGGTAACATATAAACATTAACCAAAATTATTGTGAGAGTAGACCAGAAGCAAAAATGAACTTTGAAACTAAACTGAATTTAATTACATAAATAACAAAAGGGAATGTTTTGTCAAATTTGTTTAATGATATTAAAATCAAATTGCTTTTAATTAGAAACTTATCACCTAAATAATGAAAATCAAAGGGAAAATATTAAATTTATACAATTTAGAAATTATTTTACACAAATAAAAAAAAATAAATAAAAAATTTGAGGAAAAAAATCTTACATAATTTCTAGCTATGAAGAAACTGCTGGTATTAATTAACAGCATTGAAAGACTAAAAATTTTTTTCTTAATTCTACTAACTCACTCAAAGCAATGATGAGTTAGTTGTATACAGAAAAAAAAACTTTTATTTTAACCTTTTATGAACCATTTACATAGAAAAGATGAACCATTTTTTTTTATCTTGGCAGTATCCCTCTTTCCTTTTAGTCAACCCAGTCAGATGTGAGTAAAAAAAAAATAAAAAGATAATTAGCAAGGGAAAGTGTTGAAAAGATCAAGGGAGAGGGGCATAAAATGAAATTTAAAAAAAAAAAAAAAAAACACATGGGCAAATAACATCCGTTATTTTGTATTGTAGCAGTCAGTGCTGTCTCTTCCATTCCGTCAGAGTAAACAGCCACAGGAGGTTGAAAACCAGTAAAGAAGTCTCAAAATGTTTTCCAATATCCCAGAAGTGAATATCTGAAATTAGAGAAAATAAAATCAGATGTTAGGTTTCAGTTAGACTGATTTTGTCTAAATTTCAGAGACAAGGCATAATTCTGAATAAACTTGATATATGTTGAAAGTATTTTGGAGGAAGACAAGGGCAGTACACATCATGCATAAAACCCATTTGCTTTAAAAAAAAAAAAAACAAAAAAAAAAAAAAAAAAAAAAAACACATAAGGTTTAACTCTCAAAGTCTCTCCTAGGCAAACTGTTTATGCAAAAGTCTAAAAATTTCAAATTTATCAAATTAAAAGTAAAAGGAAAGGACTAGAACCATTGCTTGAGAAAATATCATTGCTCATCATGAAAGAGTGAAATAAAAAGCCAAGTACAAAATGAGGTAAGAGAATTTCACAGAAATCTATGAGGATGCAAACTTGTATATTTACTAAAACTGAAAAGCAAAATTTTGTGAATAAAATTCAATTCTTAATGATGTTCTTTTTGTGCTAATCAATGAGAAGACAAACAAATCTGTAAGCATTTTACAACTTGGAAGTTAATCAGAGAAAAGTTGATAATCATCACAAAAAATATATATTAAAGTGAGAAACTTCTCACTTTAATATACATTTCATATGATGATTATCAACTTTTTATTTCAACAAAGACTATCTCAGATCTCAGAGCAATCTTTCACCAGAAATAGAGCAAGTTTTAAAAATTCATATATATTACAAAGTGTATAAGGTTTAAAAACATACCTACATAAATACAGGTATAAAATATAATTACATATATATTTAAATAAATATAAATATATACTTAAAATGAAGGATGTAAAAGGGATAAAATAAAAAGAGTGTCCAAAAGAACTTGTTAGGTTCAAATGATAAGAATGCAAGAACATGATGTGCAAAGGCATGTCAGAATCTAATGGCAAGGATAGAAATATTTTGGATGAAGCTGAAAGAAATGAAAGTTTTTGCTACAAAATTACAGAAGTAAAATTAGAGACATTAGATTGGGGGGTTTAGTGCTATCTTTGGCTATTTATAAAGGGGGACAGAATGGGCATGTAAGGAATTCATTGAGTAGTTTAAAAATTAAAAGATTTTGTTACCTGTACAGAATTAAAAAAAAAAAAAAAAAAAAGAGAGAGAGAGGGAAAAAGTAGAAATAAACCTTTATGAAGATGAGCAGGAGAAAGTAAAAATATCAGAAAAGGATGAGAAGGGCTGGACAGAAATATCAGACAAGGAAGTGGAAATGGGATGATAAAAGGGCAAGCAGAGAAGACAAAAAGGCAGAGACAGCAAAACGGCAAAGGGGGACAGAATGGGCAGGCAGCAAAGGGAGACAGAATGGGCAGGCGGCAAAGGAGGCGACAGAATGGGCAAAGAGGGGACAGAATGGGCAAAGAGAGTGGTGGAAAGAGTGGAGTGAGGACAGAAAGGGCAAAAAAGGAAAGAAAAAATATGCAGAAAGCAAGAGAAGGAAAAACAGAAGTTAAAGGCAAACAGGGGAAAATGAAGAATGCGAAAATCAAATGAAAAACAAAAAATGTCTGTGCTGGCAAAAATCACTAATTTTTTTTATTTTTACCACCATGAAATAGAAATTTAGAGTGAATAAATAAATACAGGACAGAAGACAAGCAACAATTGAAACAAACAAAAAGAAACCAGTAAAGGTGAAAGGTAGCAGAAAATATTTCAGATCAGAATGAAAGTAATTAATGGCAATGAAGATGAAGTACTATTTTATGATGAAAAAAGAATTTTGCTTTCTGAAATACTTGAAAACAGAATTTAATAAAGAATAAACATAAAAATACACACTTTGATTAATGATAAAAAAAGAGTTAAGACCTGCATGTTTTTGTCAATTATTTTCTAAATCCTTGATTGAACTGTAGCGAGCAATGAATAGCTTCTGCCTATTTTCTGATAGAAAGTAAAGAATAGTGGCTAATGAATGCTTAAATAACCACCCTTAATAAAGAGCCTTTGTCACTTCTTATCTGCACAAAAGAGCAGAAACAGTTTTTCAACTGAAGACTTTAGTTCATTAACTGAAAAGATTGTGTTAAAGAAAGCCTTATACATTTTAAACAAGTTCTCATTAAAGCACTTGTGCATGTAAAAGACATACAAAAGAATTTACATGAAAAATAACTTTATACACAGAGAGTATCTACAAAGCAAAGTTGAACTCTGACACAATAACACAAAATATGCCAAAATAAAAAAAATACCAAATAGTACATCAGTTACAACTGCAGATGTCAAGAAATCTAACTGCCTCCACACCAAGTTAGAGCAAGACACTTTGAGAGAATGAGAGATCTGTACTAACAAGAATATTATGTATTCATATAAAATAGTTGCAGGATAATATTACTCACCACTGTTATAACTAACAATGAATATAGCAGCCATTTCCTATTTACAGATAGAAAGGCTTATTTGTTCAGATATATTCTAATACTGGCAGAAGAAAGCTAGATAAAAGGACTTTCAACTATAAGAAAACAGAAAGTATGGTCTTCAGCAAGAGAAAAAGCCCAAGATGTAAGTTACAAATCAAAGATATAAACATCAAGCAAGTGCAGAAGATTATATACCTCTTTTCTATACTGGGGAAGTGTTTTAACGGAGGGTGGAAAATGTGACACTAAATATCCAAACATGCATTGAATTAGTGAAAGCAGCATTCCAAAATCTAAACAAAATGCTGAGAAACATAAAAATTTAATTAGAAACAAAGAAAAGAGAGCTGGATTGCTACATGATATCCATATAGCAATCACATGTGATATCCATCATCTTATATGGCAGTGAATGCTGGACAATCTCCTCACAGATTAGGTCTAGAAACTGTAATCTGTAGTGAAAAGCCATAATTCCTGAAAAGAGCTTACATTTTGTATTTAACCCCTAATTGATCATCTACAAATAAATGATTAGACATGTGTGAGTTTTGATTAACTTCAAATGATCATAACTTGATAAGTACTTGTCCTAAGAAGACTTGGTACAAACTTCGACCAGTTCTGAAATCCAGAGTGTCTACTTTCAGACTAGATATAGCATATATCACTTGTGAAATGTTTCAAAAATACTAAATGCCCACTGTCTACTCAGGGTGGGCTGATTTCAAATCCAACAGACATTAACAGCTTTAATACAAAGAAAAGTTTTGTCATTCACTATGACCTGAACCCAACACATGAAACTACAAAAGAATGTAAGTACCATTCTTATCACACACTAAGCCTAAATAAGGAACACAGGCATTTCAATCAACCATTCAAACTACTCACCTCAATGATATCACAAAGGGATCAATTTACTTTAAAAAAAAAAAAAAAAAATAATTCCACGCCTTGCTGTCATTGGATGTATAAAACCCAGCAAATGTAAAACATCTTCAAAAACACACTATATAAATATTAGAAAACACTGGAGAAAGTAGAGAGCCAATAGACAGATCTTCCACTCAAAATAGATTGGACCTAAACTGAAAAGCATACAATTTATCATACAAAATCTTAGGAACAATCAAAGATATTTTTCCTGAAACTTGATATTTTACAGTTAATTGCAATTTAGGCTTTTTGTCTTTTTAAATAGCAAAAGGGTGTCTAAATGTCAGGCTGATGCAAATTTCAGACTGTCAAGGAAATCTAAGCATACAAAGTATATTCAGATTTCTATTGCTTGTGCATGCATAAATTTTGATTAAATAATCTGTGGGTGGGACGGAATTAATTTTATTATGGCTTTAAAAACAGACATTTTAAAAGTATATATTAATATATACAAATATATAAAAACAAAAGGGGAGGAGGAGCAAAAACAAGCAAAAAACTTATTACTCACCAAAAAATAGTGTATCAAAAAATATAACAAAAGAAGATTGGGGGCGGGGGAGAATAACCAATTATCACTCCTCAGAGCTCAATCAGGGACAAAATATATGACTGTGCAAAATGACTAAGAACAGAGGTGGAAAAAAATACTACCAGAGAATCAGTGATATAAATCAGTCAGATTTCATTTAGACCCAACAATCATTTCTTCTTTGTATAGAGCGAAGATGCTTAAACTTAGTATAAAAGAATCACAAGTACTCTCAAATGGTTATCTGAATGCCCTCTGCTGACTACTGTGAAAGAAGTCCTTGGTAAAGTCAAATTACTTATTAGGTCTTCTGCAATCACAGAACTATAATTATTAACAAGCAGATGCAAATTTTCATACTGCCTTCTACAAATATTTAGCTGGTACATAATCTGTCTGTATATATAATCTATCTCTGATTTATATTACTGATTCTCTGGCATCTAGTACCATCCAGTTTTAGTTGTTGTGCACATATTTATGTTTTGTTCTCGATTAAGCTCAGAAGAGAGAGGATCAACAACAGGTTAGACTGTTTTTGTTGTGTCTTATTTTGTTATATTTTGGGATTCACCACTTCATAAGTAATTTTTTTTTGCTTACCCTTGCTCTTCTTTCCACTTTGTTATAATATATTTGTGTACATTCATATATACTTTTTAAAATGTCCATTTTTAAAGCTATAATAATTTTTAATTATTTGTAGAAAAGTGATAAGTTTATTTTGGTAAAAGTAATTAAAAAAGGAGAGTCAAAAAGAAGAAGAATTAAAAAAGGAGAGTCAAAAAGAAGAAGAATTAAAAAAGGAGAGTCAAAAAGAAGAAGAATTAAAAAAGGAGAGTCAAAAAGAAGAAGAATTAAAAAAGGAGAGTCAAAAAGAAGAAGAATTAAAAAAGGAGAGTCAAAAAGAAGAAGAATTAAAAAAGGAGAGTCAAAAAGAAGAAGAATTAAAAAAAAGGAGAGACAAAAAGAAGAAGAATTAAAAAAAAGGAGAGACAAAAAGAAGAAGAATTAAAAAAAAGGAGAGACAAAAAGAAGAAGAATTAAAAAAAAGGAGAGACAAAAAGAAGAAGAATTAAAAAAAGAAGAGACAAAAAGAAAAGTAATTAAAAGACACATCAAGGTCACATGGCACAGTGGATAAAGGCATTAGTTAGATTCAGTGACAGGACCCAAAGAGTGTGAGTTCAATACCTGGTTAAGGCAGTGGAGAACTTGCAGAGGGGAATTAACAGGAGATAACTGATAACTGACATCCATTAGACATGGCACATGGAACCAGAACAGTCTACCTCAGTGAGCAAAATAAAGGGTTCAGTTCGATATTCCAACCACCTGAAGAAGGGCAGAGCATACAACGCCCGAAATGTTATAATAAATATGGCAACAAAGATGAGGACAATAATCTGAATAATGTAAATACTGTACATAATACCTCATCTCAGAAATATAGACAGATAATTAAAAAGTGACAAAATGAAAAGTAATTAAAAAAAAAAGAGAAAAAGGAGAAGAAATTAAAATAATTTAGCTTAATCTGGTGAGGAGAATAATGCTTTGCAGTTACACTTTTCTAAACCTGGTGAAAATAAAAGTGACAATATCAAGCAAATAAGCATTTTTAGATTTACTAATACTTTCATTTGCTAACAAATGCTTTCCAAAATTACCTTCAGCTGTTTTGTTAAAAGCTGACATTTTGACTATTCAGTTTCTGAAAATACTATTACGTGAAAAAGCATTTTTTATAATTTAGAAGTAGAATGTCATTTCAACGAACTTTGTAACAAATTATTCAGATGAGGAAATACAACTTCTAAAGAATCAAACAATTTATAGAATAATGAAAATTGCTCCTTTTGGAATTTCAGATGACACTCAATAACCAGTACAAATGCTGCCACAATTTCAAATAGAAGTAAATTAATTTTTTTGTTTAAATGAAAAACTTATATTTGTCAACCTGTACTATATAAGAACACACACACACACACACATATATATAAGAGAAAGAGAGAACAGGACTATGTAGTTTCCCACTACCAGCTTTTGTTAGTGTTTGAAGGTGGACCTTGTCCAATTGGAATTTTGGCAGAATACAATCTTCATCCTTTTTCTCCTCACCAGATTAAGCTTAAATATTTACACATAAGCAGGAATTGAATGATTGATAGAAAAAAAAAGAAAAGACAGAAACACTGGAAAGAAGATAAACATATTAGAATAAATTCTTTCAGCATACATATGTATTAGATAATACTAAATACAAATGAGCTGTTTTATGTCACATGGTTGATAGAACATTGGCTACAAACACTTGGAATGAATTGTAGAACAAAGTCAAGCCAGGGCAGTGAATTGTAAAATTTATTAATTTAGAAAATGGATTGCGGAAAATGTAAATAAATCAAAATATCAAAGCACTGGTCATCTTTCCAAGACACCCATCCACCTCTCCCCTCATCTGAGGGTGAGTTACAAAACATTTTCTATTTTGTTTATGGCTCATGTGCAAAGTTGGATTTTTTTTATTATTTTTTTTTTTTAAAAGGAGAAAAGAGAAAATAGCATAAAGTAAGAAGCTCAAGGAGATGGGGATGGCATGAAGGTTGATTCCTCTTTTTACTTTCATTCAAAGAAGCAGAGAGAGAAAGAGAGAGAAGTAATGGGATGTCATTCAGTTCAGAAAATAAACAAAATGATTATGTATAATGTTTGTAGAAATTATACAGAACAGAATGTGCATTTACACACTCAGAGACACACACACACACATATATATATATATATATATATATATATATATATATATGCATAGAGATGTGTCAGACAGTAAAGTGTAAGAGTAGATGCATATGTGCATGACTGATATGCACATATTCACTGTGTAAGATTTTATTATGCAAATCAAGTTTTCTCACAACAGAATTTGTATTAATAAACAGATGTTAGAAATTTTCAGGATATATGATAAATATAGAACAAGAATACCAGCTTGTCTGCTTTAGAAATATTTACAATAAAACTTGGTAGTACAAGATTTTATTACGCAACTTTAGGTTGTTTGTCATGTTGAAAAAAAAAAAGTGTGTGTGTGTGTGTGTGAAATCCTAAAGGATGAAATTTGTCACAAAAATTTTTTCTCAGATTTTCATCAAATTTGTTCTGAAATATAAAAATTTATACAGTGTAACCCAGATATAAGACAGTTGTTGGGACCGGAGAAGAAGTCTCTTATATCCGGGTTTCTCTTATATCCGGGTTTGGTCTATTTTATATACATTAACACAGGCTCTAATTTGGGACCAGAAAATCTCTTATATCCGGGTTACACTGTATATCATTTTGCTATATATATGAGAGGCCACAAATTTTGGCCATGTATTTCTTAATTTAAGATATATAAAAATTGACACAAGTTACAAAAACTATCATAAAAAAGGGCAACAAGATACTGTAAAGTCATTAAGTGAAGAGAACACAATGTTGGGAAATGCAAAATAGATAAACTGAAGATATTGGCAAGATAAAAACAAAGGCAAAATTGGCTTTAAGAATATCACAAAAATAGATTTGAGAAAAATTAAAAGGAGATTTATCAGCAAGGAAATATTTGACAAAACCAGTTTTGCAAGTGTAAGCAAAGAGATGCAGAATATTAAGGACCTTGGCTAAAGACAAGAAAGCAAACAAACTCTTAAGTAAACATCACAAAGACAAATGAAAAAGTTGAGTGAAGCAGTACATGAAAACTGATTTCTTAATTTTTAGTAATGATGGATGGACCGAATGCCCATGTTAGATGTTTGGTGCTTCATAGAAATAGTCAGAAACACAACATAGAAGATAACCTGTAAAATTATAGGACCTTTCAATAAGATAAATTGAGTGAATTCTTTCAGTTCTTGAAAAAGACATTTTTTTGAGTGGTAAAAGGTCACAATCAAGAAGCTTTAAGCTAAAGAGCATATTTACAACAGACAATGCTCCTTCATATTATGCAAAGCTTACGATCACCCACCTTGCCAAAAAAGAAAGGTTTCAAAAGCAGCAACTTAATGGAATGGCTTCCAGCCACTTATCTAATAGAATACTTAAGGATTCATCATTAAAAGACATTTATATGAAAATTGACAATATTAAAGGAGAAAAATCTGCAGCAAGTTGTTAAACTTGAAACAGTAAAAAAGCTAACAATATCAATGAATGTAAAACTGATGAAGGTTATAGAATGTCAAGAAGTTCATATCAATATGCAAAATAATACAATAATTTACTCAGGTATATAGGACAGTATGTTAAATGTTTCTAAGGCTTTTTTTTTTTTTTTTCTTATAAATAAAAACTTATGTTGCACTAAGTTTGTTTGCATAATAAAAACTGATATCTCCCAAACAAATTAATATTTTTAATAATGATAGATATGAAATTTAGTCAGCATGGAGACAAATAAAAGACAAACTGAAAGCAATTCTACCAATGATGCAGACAAACCTGGATTATTCACACTGAAAAATATTGAAGTTCACCAATTAGGTTACAAACTAGAAAATTGTTAACTATCAATCAACAAATTGAATACACAAAAGGATTTCAAAAGAATCTCAACAAGATTTGAATTTGATATAATAAAACATTTACAAAGATTAAACAATAAAAAAATCCTACTGATTATTTTACAAATAATTCTGACAACTGTGAACCAATAATGAAGAAAAAAAATGATTTCCTTAGAGATCAGCACTAACAATTATAGCAAATAAGATCATGTTTTTGCTTGTTTTGTTTAAACATTAAATTGTATAAGTGTTTTATTTTTTAATAAATATTATCAATTTATAATGTCTTTATTAATTTTAAGACCCCGTTAATAAAATAAGACACTCACAGCTTTTGCCAACATTTGATGAATGAATCAGATATTAGTAAACATTCAAAGAAAGTTAACTTTATATTCAGCAAGGAGGATCATCTCCCATTCTGGAATAGAGATTGCTGTGTGCCTTCTAACTCTGTTTTTCCATGGTTACACAAATCATGAGAGATGTTGTAATGAAATAGATATCTCGTTATATTTTTTTGACATAAAAAATGCTACTCTTATAAAAGGAGTAAACAATTCTCTACAACAAAAATGTTTAGAGAGTGCCTTGATTGCAAGGTCATCCACAGTAAATTTGTATCCTGGCTCTTACAACATTTCACCATTCCTGGCAGGTTTTCTATTACCAGTTTGTGCGACATCTAATAAAAGTTACAAAAACAAAAAGAATCTAAATGAAATCAGATAGATTTAAAAAAAAAAAAAAAAAAAAAAAAAAAATTAAATTTAAAATATTTAGATTTAAAAATCCGAGCATCCCTCATTTGTGCACAAATTCAGTCACACCAACATAACAAATTTAGTCCAATGAAGTCCTAAAGGATAAAACACATCACACAAAATCCTTTACCATACATATATATCTATACATATTCAATGAGATTTTTTCTCTCTTTCATATTATTCAAAATATTACAAATCTGTGTCAGATAAAATTAAACAAAAGTCATTGTGGAGACAGCACATGCCAACAAAGATGGTAGCACTGACCTTATAGTTTGAAATTCCTCTTTGAATTTATGTGAATTGACCAACCTTTCCCCTTCCTCATACAAAATAAAACTGATCTAGTAACCTGTAAAACTATTTCTCAAAATTAACGCTACAGTTCTACAGCTTTAAAACCAGTTTTAAAATTACTTTGCACCTCATAATCTCTAATGAAACTTAGTTAGGTATCTTCACTTCTGTGAAAAAGGTGACCTGTGGGATACAGCAAAGTGTATTTTAAGTAACCTTGGCAAAAGACAAATGAGGCTAATGACCATAGCACATTTATTTCTCCATGGCTACAATACTTTTTTGATTATCTATACTTTGATTATCCGAACATGAAATAAAAAAAGTTTTAAAAAGTCAATTATTTGAACCGAACCCAGACAATTGAATTATCACAGATAATATGATTTAAGCCAACAACTGAAACACATTGAATTCAAAGTTATAATTCATTACAAATAACATGACAACACAGGTAGGATTTACAAAATAGATAACTGAATGACAAAAATGTTGCTCCTGCAACCTTCATTAGTACTTGGTACTAAATTTTAGTTTTTACATTGGAAATGAACCAGGATATGTCATTAATGCAAACTGTTACAATCAGATATAAATTAAAAATTATAACTTATAAAATATTGCAAAGAAAATTTTAAAGAAATATCTCCCTCCATTTCCAATATAAAAACTAAAAATCATTACCAAGCACTGACAAAGGTTGTAGTAGTAATGGAAGATTGTCATTCTTTTTTTTTCAAAAGCTTTGTGCTCCTACATGTCAACTTAATAAAAAATATACAAATTATTTTTGTCATCCAATTTTTAATACAGTATTCCTTGCTTATCCACACCTCAATTTTCCAGATTATGATTATCCAGACATCAAATAAAGAGAAAAATTGAAATCATCTGAATATTTTTCAGTTATTTGAACTAAACCCTATTCTGATATTTCATCTCAAATAAGCATTTTGAGGATTCAGAAAGCTATACTCAACATCTGATAAAAATGCTAATAAAATCATTTCAATTAATTCTTGTTAATTTCCTCATTGTTTTCATACAAAATACATTCATTTAGATTATCACAGGTTGGTCAATTCTCAAATGACTCAAATGAATCAAGTTTCAAAGGGGAAAATGAAATTTCTTTTTGCTTGCCCAGCATCTAGCATCCAGAAACAGACAAAAATTGATACATTTCTTTATCAAAAATAAACGGGATAAAACTGAAAGAATTGTTGGAAAATTTTATTAATGATATAATGTTAAATTTCTTTTTTCCTTCATTCTTTTTTGTTAATTTAGATATTCAATTATCCTGAATTTTGTACTATCCAAACATATTTCAATCCCTGTCCCAAGGTGTCAGGATAATCAAAGCAGTATTGTATTTGGCACACACATGTCATTTTGAACTAAATGTCCTTTCATGTTTAAGTTTCTATTTAGTTGGATAAATCAGCCTCTTAAATTTAACTTAACCAAATACATAATTTGATTTTGCCACTCAAAATTCAAGCATAATGTTGGATTTAAATAAATAACCTAAAATTTTCTTTAAACCTATCACTTCCAACTTCAGGTTAAATTTTTCTGCTACAAAGATTCA